CTGCATTCCTGAGGCCCAGTGTGAATGTGCAGTGGTCATTAATTGAAAATTGCCTGTACTCAGAAGCAGTCTCGGGCCAAGGTTTCCAGCAATCTTAGTAAACAGAGGATGTCAAGGCTAAAGAGATGGGGTATAAACACTCCTGCTACAACATCTACCTGCTTTTCATTTTGAAATGACTTTAGATTTACAGAGAAGTTGCAGATGCTACAGTGAAATACCTCTAACATGAACCTCTGGTATCACCATGGTACCTTTGCCATGGCTAAGAAATTAACACCATTACACCACCATGAACTAAACTCCATACATATTTGGATTTTGCCAGTTTTCCTGGGAATGTGCTTTATTCTAGGATCCAGTCCAGGGCACTGCATCGCATCCAGTCACCTGTGTGTCATGGATGAAAGAGCGGAAGGACCCTTCCTCATCAGCTTCGCTCACTCCCAGGAGGCAAGCCTGTTTCCAGGAATGGACAAAGGACCCACACAAGCCTCTTGTCCTGCTGAGTCTCCCTATCAGGAAGTGGATTTCCTAAGCTCATCAGTGCATTTAGGGGGTCCCTTCCCAGAGCTCTAGGCTGATGAAGGAGGGCTGTGGTTTCTTGCTAGCGTGGAAAGCTTCGGGAAGAATGTCAGAGCAGAGCTGGACCACACAGATGGGAATGTGGATACCCAAAGCATCTGAGAGGCCCTGCGTCCCTGCTTCTATGTATACACACACATACACACGTACACACACACACACATACACATACACACACACACACAGACACACACACACACAGACACACACAGACACACATACACACACACACACACACACACACACACACACACCAGACCTTCCCATAGCTCAGAGAGTGGTTCAGAATCCAGAACTCTTCTCTCCCACTCCAAGCACTTGAATGAGAATGAGTCCCAGCTCATCCCCCAGGCCCACACCTGCCGCTCCTCCCGCAGAGCTGGTTGTGTTGCTTGACTCTGGGCACTTCTGGGTCCCAGCCCACCCTGGCAGCAAGGAGTCAGCCAGGCTCCCAGGAGCAGTGGAGGGAAGGCCCCCTTGGCATGGGTGAAGGCGGGACAATGCCCACTTTTTCAGGCAGCTGGCAGAGCCAGCCAGGCCCTGGGTGTCTGAATGCCCATTGGAGCCAGACACTGGACTCTGTTTCCCAGGCAGCCCCGTGCCAGCACCTGCCCCCCACCCAGAGAGAAGGAGCCTTTCTTTCCCACTGGCCAAGGCCAAGTCTCCCAAAAGAGCATCAGCGGCAAGAGGGGCTGACCTTTGTTCGGAATCGGAGGTTTCCTGGACATCCATGCCCCACCTCCACTTGGGAACCTTGGAGCTGGAAAGGGAAGTGTGAGTAAAAGCCTCCCTTTCCCTTTGTGAGGCCGCCCTGCTCCCTCCAAACCCTGAAGCTGCAGGACTGCCAGCCCACGCCCCACCTATTCATCAAGGGCTCTGAATGCCAAAGACCTTCACAAGGCTCATCCTGTTGGCCTTGAAAGGGGTTCGCATTGAAGGCTGCTGCAGGGCGTGTTTGGAGGAGGGAGGAAGGGATTCCAGTTGGAGTGACTGTGCCCACTTGGAAGGTTGCAGAACTGAGACCTGCAGAGATGCCTGATGATGAGCCCAGGCTCCCTGGCTAAGGGAGGAGCATGGAGTGTGTCTCCAGACACCAGTTCAGGGTTTGAGCTGCATGTGACTCCCGAGCCATTTGCTCTAATGACTCATGCCGCTCGCTCTGTGTAAGGACGTGGTTCAACGTATCCTCAAGGGGCCTTGGACACTGCTGGGGTTATTTGCTATCTAATCCTGACAGTTCCATTTGGGGCCTGTGGATGAGCAAGTGCAGGGCCAACTGGGACTTCTGGAAGGCCTGGGACTCACCCAGAAGACAGCCCTGGACACATTTTGGTGTGGCTGTCAGGAAAGCCAGGCTGTGGGGCAACCCCCTCCTCATCAGGCCAGCTCCGGGAGAACCCTGCACCTGAGAACTGAGGGCAGCCACACCCCTCCCTGACAGCCCCATCCACTCACTCCAAGGCCAGCGGGACAGAGCAGGGGTGGACCTCGTGCCTATTACACACACACCGCTGACAGATACACACCACGAACACACACAGCAACATAGGCATAGAGACACCAGATCCTCTCACCAATAGATGCAGGAGACGCAAAGATGAACACACACACACACACACACGCACACGGCAGACAATCGCTGTTGGCTCTTTATCATGGGCACTGTGACATGTGCCTGGCCCTGATCATCTCAATTAATCCTTACACAACACACAAATATACATAAAATGGGAAGTAAGCAGAGAGACACCAAGACACACATACTGGAAACCCAAAGACAAAAACCTCACAGACTGAGACACAAGACAACCAAAGCATGGACCCACAAAGGTAGACACACCAGTGGTGTCCCAAGGGCCAGGAGGTAGGACAGAGCCAGCCAGGGGCAGGCAGGTGCTTTGCAGAGAATTGGAAAGTCATCATCCTTTTGATTAGCAACTTGCACTGCAATTCCTTAACCGTGTCTGTAAAAAGATGTTCTGCTCTCCTCCCCAAATTAGTCTGTTAATTCTAACCTGGTTTTCTTTTTTTTCTTTTCAGATTTTTTATCTTTGTAAAGCATACATAACATAAAATTTACCATTTAACTGCTTTTTCATTTTGGTGTTTTAAGGATTTTGTTTGTTTGTTTTTGAGACGGAGTCTCACTCTGTCTCCCAGGCTGGAGTGCAGTGGCGCAGTCTCGGCTCACTGGAACCTCTGCCTCCCCAGTTCAAGTAATTCTTCTGCCTTAGCCTCCCGAGTAGCTGGGATTACGGCACATGCCACCACATCTGGCTAATTTTTGTATTTTTAGTAGAGATGAGATTTCACCATGTTGGTCAGGATGGTCTGGATCTCTTCATCCCATGATCTGCCCGCCTCAGTCTCCCAAAGTGCTGGGATTACAGGCATGAGCCACCTTGCACAGATTTTTTTAAGGATTTTTAAGTGTACAATTCGGTGGCGTTAAGTACGTTCACAATGTTGTGTAACCATCACCACTATCCAGGACTTCTTCATCCTGATCAGAAACTGTACCTATTGGCCGGGCGCAGTGGTTCATGCCTATAATCCCAGCACTTTGGGAGGCCAAGGCGGGTAGATCATGAGGTCAAGAGATCGAGATCATCCTGGTCAACATGGCGAAACCCCGTCTCTACTAAAAATACAAAAAACATTAGCTGGAAAAAAAAAACAAAAAAAAACATTAGCTGGGCATGGTGGCGTGTGCCTGTAATCCCAGCTACTCAGGAGGCTGAGGCAGGAGAATTGCCTGAACCCAGGAGGCGGAGGTTGCAGTGAGCTGAGATTGCACCATTGCACTTCAGCCTGGGTAGCAAGAGTGAAACTCCGTCTCAAAAAAAAAAAAAAAAAAAAAAAAAGAAACTGTAGCTATTAAACAATAACACTCCATCTGCCATCTCCCAGTCCCTGGTAACCTCTATTCCACTTTCTGTTTCTGTGAATTTGCCTATTCTACGTACGTCACACGAGTAGAATCACACAACATTTGTCTTTTCAAGTCTTAAACTGTTTATTTAATTAATTTATTTATTTTTGAGATGGAGTTTTGCTCTTGTGGCCCAGGCTGGAGTGCGATCTCAGCTCACTGCAACTCCCGCCTCAGTCTCCCGAGTAACTGGGAGTACATAAGTAGGCTTCAAATATGCACATTTCTATTACCTATCCTTTGGTCAAACTTGTGTCCTACATAGAAGTTAATTCCAAGGACTCCTGGCTCCACAGTCGGCCCCTAGACAGGTTTGATGGTTGGAATCTACCAAGTCAATTCAGGTGCGGGCTGTGTCTCCAGGCCAGATACATGATGTGAAGTTGTAGAGCAGAACTTGAATTGTTTAATTTTATTTGTGATTAAAATTTGAAACTGTGAATCGGTGAGCGAGCTGTGAAGCTACAATGGTTTTGTTTGGAAAATGCAAATTTTATATTATACAGGAAATATTTTATTAATTTGAACAATATGTTTAAAATTGAACTTTCTTCTTTATTGAAGATTGTTAGTATTTTAGTCTTATTTAATTCTCATGTAATGTTATTCATTACTGGGACGAATCAGTATGTAAGTATATTTCCACCCTTTGTTTAAATAATGTAATTTATTTATTTATTTATTTATTTTTTACATGAAGGCAATTTATTAACAGAAAACATTTTGAGGAGTCTTGTTCACAGACGGCGACCACGGCGACCCCCCTTCCTGCGGGTGCTGTCAGAGGGGATGGGGGTGACGTCCTCAATCCGCCCGATCTTCATACCCGAGCGGGCAAGGGCTCTGAGGGCCGACTGGGCTCCAGGTCCAGGGGTCTTGGTCCTATTTCCTCCTGTGGCCCGGAGTTTGATGTGTAGGGCAGTGGTACCCAGCTCCTTGCACCTCTGGGCCACATCCTGGGCAGCCAACATAGCAGCATACGGCGAGGATTCATCTCGGTCTGCCTTCACCTTCATCCCGCCAGTCACACGGCAGATGGTTTCTTTGCCGGAAAGATTAGTGACATGGACAAAAGTGTCATTAAAGGATGCAAAGATATGGCAGACACCAAATACATTCTCTCCTTCAGCCACCTGAGGTCCAAGGCTGATGACCTGTTCTTCCTTCTTTTCCTTCCCCTTTCGAGGTGCCATTTCTGCACGTTGTCTCCGGACTCCACACCGGAAAGAGAGCTAAATAATGTAATTTAAAATTTTTTCCTTTTTGTACTATCGCTTGAACCTGGGAGGCGAAGGTTGCAGTGAGCTGAGATGGTGCCACTGCATTCCAGCCCGTCTCAAAACAAACAAACAAAAAACCGAGAGAAGGGTACAAAATAAAGGGTGCAAAAAAGATGAATTTTTTTCCTTTTTTGTACTATAGTGATTATTTCTTTATTTGTATTTGAAATGGCATGAGTTCATATAAAAAATTCAATAAAAGAAAATTTTGGCTGCCTGCCATTTATTGTTATTCATTGCATGATTGTTACTGCCAATAATTTTTGTCTTATAGAAGAGGGGTGGTGTTGAAAATCTGCTCAGGGTATATGCTGGGTACCCCCTTAGATACGTGTGCGTAGACACCCACCCACACACACACACGCACCACACACATGCACGTGCACTTTCTTCTGTGCCCACGTCTGCTGATCACGAGTGGGTGGGTCTCTCCAGCCAACAGCAGACCCAGTGATGGGAGTCTGGGCCCCAGGTTGGGCGCCGGCAGACAAGGTGGGGTCTAGAATGGACTGCAGGAAAGAAAAGAGAAGAGGATTCAGGCCCCAGCGAAGGTCCCCAGCCAGAAAGACCCGCCTCTGTCGCTGCTCCTGCTCCGTGCCCTGGCTCTTTTCTGCTGCACTTCCAAGATCCACCACGAGGTGTCGCTGTGGAAAAGCGATCGCTGCCTCCGGACGCTTCCGAATCCGCTCGGCGACATGCGGAGCGCCCTGGGTGCCAGGCCTTGGGGACTCTAGACAAGTGAGGTACAGCCTCTGTCCCTGAGCACCGCACAGCCAGGCAGGGGGCTTACAGGGAGATTCGGGTGTGCACAGCCTGGTGGTGAGCGAGGTCCTGGAAGGGCGCTCAGAAGCGGCGGGTCACCGAGGGCCTTTAGCCCCAGTTCGAGCTTTCCCACGAGGCCATCAGGGACCCGAACAAAGGTCTGGGCAGATGAATGCTCAGAAAGGCGCTCCGTGTGCTGTCATTTGTGTTTTTAAAGGACGAAGGAGGCTGGACAAGGGAGCTCACGCCTGTAATCCCAGCACTTTAGGAGGCCGAGGCAGGCGAATCAGGAGCAAGATCAGGAGTTCAAGACCAGCCTGGCCAATATGGTGAAACCCCATCTCTACTAAAAATACAAAAAAAATTAGCCAGGCGTGGTGGCGGGCACCTGTAATTCCAGCTACTCAGGAGGCTGAGGCAGGAGAATCGGTTGAACCTGGGAGGCGGAGGTTGCAGCGAGCAGAGATGGTGCTACTGCATTCCGGCCTGGGTGACAGAGCAAGACTTCATCTCAAAATAAACAAACAAACAAAAAAACCAAAGGAAGGGTGCAAAATAAAGACAATGCATTGTAAGTGTTCATGGGATATATCTGGAAGATATTTTTAAATGGGGATATTACTGTCCTCAGGGAGTGAGACTCGTGGCTGGGCACAGAGATGAGGAAACTTGCACTGTGTGCATTCTGTTCATTTTGAGCCATGGGAATGAATCACCTTCATGAAAAATAAATGAAACAAAAACTATTAAATTAACATTTGTAAAGTCTTTATAATCAAAACAAGTAAGATCATTCCAACTGTGTTGTGTAGGATGAGCTGAAGAGACAGCAGGGAGAACTTCAGAGCTGGGCATCGGTCCTGGGGAGGAGTTGGAGGGGACCTGGCAGGTGGGGAGGTGGGGTGTGGGTGCAGCGCTGGGCTCTCCATCAGTGGAGACAGGCATAGGGCTTGGCTTATGGATTTTTCTGGGGCTACAAAAATTTAAGGTGTTGAAAAACAAAAGTATGCTTCCAGATTTTTACAAGGAAACTACAAAATCCAAATGAACAAACGTTTAATTAGATGTCTACAGAATGGAATTCATGCCAACCAGCCAATTGTCACAAAATTCATAGAGCAGAATGTGAGTGCGTTGTAATAGGTTTGCTATGTTGCAGGCAGGGACGCCCAGTGGAGGCTCCCCAGGACCTGCCTGCTTTCTGTACTTCCAGGGCTGAAGCCAGGCACCAGGGAGGCTCAGAAGTCACAACGCATACCAGGAACAAGTTATTTCTGGGGCTTGGATACTCCCAGACATCCTCATACCAAAGCCCCCTCCTGCCCCAAGTGAGGAGTCTGAGCAGGCCAGGTTGAGGGCAGCCCCCAGCAGCGGGGCTCTTTCAAGGATGTGTGTGGAGCAACGTGGTGGGTTAGCATCAGTGACTGGAACCTACACCACAGTGGTCAGGCCCACTCCCTGGACAGAAAAGGAGGCTGAGATCAGAGAAGGGCAGGGACTGCCCCAAGGCCACACAGCCGGTTAGTTGCAGCACTGAGACTCATCCTGGCCACTCTGGCTCCCAGATCTTGGTGGCCTCTCCTGGGTCACATCGATGCCCTGCACACCCCATTCCTGAAGCCAAGAGAGGACCTTCTGGGACCTCTTGGCCTTCCTCAGACAGCACTGCCAGCTATTCATGATTCCAGAGGGTTATTTCACGGGATTTAGGAGAAACTCCACGTCCCAGGCCATGCAAATGGCTGTGGCTCCTGGGGAGAGGAGGGGAGGGGAGGGCTTGTTCAGGCTGGTGAACATTTGCTAAGTCTCAAGGCACAAGCCTGTGAGCTGACCTTCCTGTGTCACAATTCCCTCACCACAGCAGGCCTTATCACCAGCTCACCCTGCCTCACAATCCTGGTGCATGCAAAGGGATCTGGATTTCCAGCCTTGATTACATACAAATTTAAAACTGACGTGAAGCAAAAAATACCTCATATGCAGGTAAATGAAAAGTGACTGATGGAAGATGTCTGCAACATAAGGAAAAGAGGAACGACATCTATAATATGTAAAGAGTTCCTAAAAGTTAATAAAAAAATTATGAGTAACCCAACAGGAGGCAAGGGTCCAATGAGGTAACAGCAGGAAAGGAGCTTTGTAGGAAGAGCTGGATATGTCTGGGGGTGAGTGTCCTGGGGAAATTTGAGAGGCGGAAGCTTAGTCTCTCCTGGTGGGCCCAGAACCAGAACTGAACCATCTCTGTCTACTCTTTCTAAGAGGCATGAATATTCCCTATGCCAGTCAGCTCAACAGAAACACACACACACACACACCTAATCAAAATTCCTTCTGAGAGTCTCTCTGTGAGTCTTCTAAGATGTTTCAGTCCCAGGAAGAGACTCTAGGAGTGAACCATGAATCCCATGAGAAATAGGTGAGCTTGAGTTGAGGCCTGGTGTGGACACTTGGCAACCTCCCTACCTCCACTCCCTCCTCCTCCCTCCTCCTCCCTCTTAATAGAATCCCAGGCCTAGCAAAGAATTTGTGATTGGACCAGACCCGAGGTTTTCAAGAGCAGCATCGGGCATGCTTGCAGGACATAACTGGTAATGATGGGGGCACTGTGGATATTTGGTGAGCAGGAATCGAGGTTAGAATTCCTGACAGTTGCACATAGCAAAACTTTGGCCTGAATCCCACATGACTTTCAAATGTCCCACTGGACAGAAATGTAGGTGAAAAATCTGAGCCTAGAATCTAATCTCACACATTACCAGAAAGATTTTTTTGCAAGACTTTCATACATATTGAAAACACACTGCAGCAAACTGCTACAGTGCAACTGAGGAGGCCTGTGCTCTTTCCTTGATATCTTCCCAAGAGTAGGCATCTCAACACAGTCATGTTAGCAGTAATACCAGCAGCACTTTGGTCACCAAAACAACCCACTTGTATTTGCTGTATCTCTTCCTCCCGAATTCATGGAGATTTCAGGCACAGGTGAAAACATCTGATTGTTTCATTATGTTCTCTAGAATACTACTTTTTTTTTTTTTTTTTTTTTTAAGATAGAGACTCGTCGCCCAGGCTGGAGTGTAGTGGCATGATCTCAGCTCGTTGCAACCTCTGCCTCCCGGGCTCAAGTGATTCTCCTGCCTCAGCCTCATGAGTAGCTGGGATTACAGGCGCCTACCACCATGCCCAGGTAATTTTTGTATTTTTAGTAAAGACGGGGTTTCACCGTGTCGGCCAGGCTTGTCTTGAACTCCTGACCTCCTGATCCACCTGCCTTGGCCTCCCAAGTGCTGGGATTACAGGGGTGAGCCACTGCACTGGGCCTGTTCTCTAGAATACTTATGCCTTAGCATGTATCTTGAAATATATTTTATTACATTATACATTTCCTTTTGTTTTTCTTTTAGAGTTAGGGCATTGTATTGCTATTTTTGCAATTACACGTGTAAGTAGGTCCTACTTCTACAGATTTCATTGGGATAGTAATATTTGTTATGAGAAGTGAGCCCTGAGCCTGATGGGATTGAGAACAGCTGGTCCAAGCCAGAGGGCCAATGGAGCGCCTCTGGGGATGACTTGGGTTCGTTGATTGGGTGGAGTAATTTTGGGCATCTTCACTGTTTGACATGAACAAGGAGGCAGCCACAACGTCTGATGGCTATTGGCAGCTACCTTGTGTTCATGAGGGTGAGGATCCTGAGGATGAAGCCAGTGTGGAGAGCAGAGATGGAGGACCAGGACCATTTTGATGTCACCGAACCCTGATGGTATGGCATCTGAGGATGCCCTGCCTCTGCAGCTCCAGCCCTGTGAGGTAAATCTTATGGGGAAAACAGTGGCAACCAACTGTTGGGTACAATGGCATGAACGGTTCCAGTTAAATGGCACTACTGCCTCAGTTTCCTTTTCAGAAAAAGGGATCCTGGTGAGCACGGAGAAAGCTTCCTCTCATGGTGATGCCAACATGGCCATTCATGTTTCTGGCCCTTTAAAGGCTACGGGAAACCAGATCTCAGAGGGGACAGTAGCAGCTGTGGTCTTCTTCCTGCTGTAGGTTTCTCTCCGCCTCTGAGAAATGTTCATGGGGCCCAAAGTGGGTGGGGCAGAAAGGCTATGAATCTAGGTCTCCATGGGAGCTTGAGGCTGAGTATCCCCTGCGTCAACCAAGAGTGGACCCAAGCCACAGAAAAGCCAGGCCTGGCAGAATCCCGGCCTGGCAGAATCTGGCTCACTGTGTATCAGTCAGGGTTAGCTATGTGATGGCACAGAGACAGCAACCCCCCAAACCTCAGTGACTTAAAGCAGCTATGTTTCATTTCCGCTCCTATTTACATGCCAAATGAAGATGGGCAAGAAGCCTCTGCTCATCAAAGCCACTCCAGGATGCAAGCTGCAGGGAGTTGCCGACTGAGCTACCAGACTGTTCCTACCACTGCTGGGAACAGAACGAGAGCCCAGCAAACCCCAAACTTACGTCCCTTAGGGCTTCTGCAGAAAAATGTCACATACCTCTTCCCCACATGTTTTGTTGGTCAAAGCAAGTCACACGGCCATGCCTGCCTTCCCCAGGGAGGGGGGGGGTGCATACTCCTCCTGCCAGGAGGGCCAGCAAAGGGGGGACACTGCACGTGAGGACAGCCTCCTACACCTGATTTTCTGTCATCTGTGTGATCACCCCAATTCTACCTCAGCTTCCAGAGGAAATTTCCGTGACGGCAGGTCTGACTGTGCTAGCCCCCA